GTTGGAAGGCTCTCTCTCCTGTCTCCATCCAGTTCTCCCTGATCACGGACCCTGAGGAGAATAAACTCAATCCATGTTAAATTATAGATTAAGGCCCGGGTCTGGCTATGGCTTGGCAGCTGGCGGCTGAATACGCATCAAGCTGTACTGGGTTTTATACATTACTTCTGCTTCTACTGTTGCCTCACCTATTAAAATCAACATCAAACACTCTCCACAGACCAATAAGAGGATTTAACAGAGGCTGTATGAATATGTAAAGAATCTCTATACAATGTTTCAGCTTCTGTTTTGAGGCTTTGCGGATGATTCAACCTTTATCGTTACTTTTCGGTGTTTTTCTCATTGGCAGTCTTTCAAGTCACTTTGCTCTTTAACCTGAGACGATTTTGAAAGTGCAAGTTCGTCTTTTCTTATGTGCTGTCAAATATAAAAAGGTAAAAAGAGATATTGTTGCTCTCCATGTTGTTCTTCAGTATTCCAAAGAGACAGGGAAATCTCAAAGCCACTGCATATCATAAATACAGATGCTGTCTATTTCAGTCACATAAACTCTATTAATATCCATACGCACAAGAAAATCAAACAAAAACACTTTACTCTACTTTTTATGAAAGACATAAGAAATAAATGCAACTTGAAATTAGAAGCATTAATTTCCAAGTTTAATGACATTCAGGTAGCAGATGTGGACAGATGTTGTTTTGTTATCTGTGATGCTGCAGATATGCACAAGCAACGTGTTTGGGGTTTTATCAACAGTGAGAGAAGCCACACCTACAGTCATGTGAAAAACAATGTGTTAACAGGCCTGTATGGAGCCATGTGAAAAACTACATCCATGCTGATTTTCCATAAAAAATTAAGAGCGTGTATATAGCAGAAAACTGTTTCTTGTCAAATGCAAAAACGGAAGTTTGGCAGTTTGCTGGTCTGGACAAATTAGATGTGTGTTAACACAATCTTCACAACACAAGGAATGGACGTCACAGAAAATTCACCATGAAGTCAGACTGTGCAGTGCTGCGAGAAACTGCAAAAAACCTCAGGGTCTACAGACCTCAGTTAGCGTCTGAAATGTTAAATTCCTAACAATTCAATACTCAGAGAACGAGCCCATCAGCCTGTTATGTTATGTTATTGTGATTCCATAGGATGTCTTATTGAAAAAATAAAACTAGTGTTGTAAAGCTTTCCCTATGCCCTTTCATTTGATATGTTACTCAATATTGTTTCTTTAAAAAAAATTTCAAGGTTAACATTGTACTGGACGCTAACAGCGACTGTCATGGTCAAATGCTTAGCCAACCTAGGTACTTAGCTCCCCCATGGCCTGGTATACTGATGTAAAGTTTGAAGATGATCCAAACCCAAACTGTGAGTTTTTACTTCAAGTTATTGCTGCTAAAACTGTTCCTACAGGCTAATGAATCATGGGGACTGCATGTTTAATTGATTCATAATCTTCCAGATCTCAGCTGCCTCAATGTGCTTCAGTGAAAGAGTGCATCAGCGTCATCCTTGGCCACATATGAAAGCACAGTGCATTGTCACATTAGGCATATTGTGTATATCATTTGCAGTGGATAATGTACTTGATGGATTATCATATTTATTCATGTATTTTATTTTATTTTATTTGCCAACAGCCTTACAACAGTAACAATACATTCACATCATGGTGCTACTTCCTCCTTCTGAATGTCAGTAAACTTCACAATTGTCAGACGGTCTGATATAAAGAAGCAGCTACTGTAATTTTAAACAATAGCTATGACATAACTCTGGTTACATAAACACCAAACAAACAGTTTTCATGCCACAGAGTTTTATTCACAAAACCAGATGGAGACACATTTAAAACTTGCCTCTCCTTTTTGTCTGAAGTGAAACGCCGTCCTGTCTTCTCTAAGAATTTATTTTAGGGAATAATTATAAATATAGAGCCTGGTGTATGAAAAATAATGAATGTATCATTTTGGTACAGTTTGTGATCTAAAATAGAAATCTGTATCTGTTCTCGACAACAGTAGTGCAGTAGCAACATTTCGTATTTCCGTTGTAATACTTTCATGCAAAACAAATCTCATTGGGCAGTCGAAGGCATCGAGATAATGTCCAGCGTCAATATTAAATATGATGCATGCAGTTTCAACACAATCACCATGCATCGGCAAATAAATGAAAGCATAGTGTAAAGTGCCATGAAAGAGTATTTGCCCCATTCCTGATTTCTTAGTTTTAGTATTCCTCAGACTTAAATGTTTCAAACCATCAAACAAATTTCAATATTATAAAATTAGGAAAAGATAACCAGAGTAAATACAAAATGCAGTTTAAAAATAATGATTTCATTTACTAAAAGCCATCCGTACCTACCCAGCCGTATTTGAAAAATTAATTGGCTCCTAAGCAAAGTAGCTGTTTGTGCCACCCTTGGCAGCAGGACTTGAAATTAAGCATTTGCGATAGCTAGCAATGAGTCTTTCACATTGCTATTAAGGAATTCTGGCCCACTCTTCTTTGCAGAATAGTTTTTATTCAGACAGATTGTAGAGTTAGGATGCATGAAGAAAGCATCTCAATTGGATTTCAATTTTTTTTTTTTTTTTGGAGCCATTGGACTTGCTGGCGTGTTTTGGGTCACTGTCCTGCATTGTCTTTAGAGCACAAACTGATGGCTGGACATTCTCCTCCAGGGTTTACCAGAAGAATTCATGGTTCAGTCGGTTACAGCAAGTCGTCCAGGTCCTGAAGCAGAAAGCACCTCCGGACCATCACACTACCACCACCATGTTTGACTGTTGGCATGATGTGTTCTTTTCCTGAAATGATGGTTAGTTTTATGTCAGGTGTAATGGGATTCAAACCTTTTAAAAAAGTTCAACTTTTGCTTCATCAGTCCACAGAGTTTTGACAAATGTGAGCTCAGCTATGTCCTCTTCCTGGTCAGCAGTGGTTTTCTCCTTGGAGTTCTCCCATGGATGTCATTTTTGTTTAGTTTCTTTCTTATTGTTGAAAAATGAACTCTGACCTGAAGTGAAGCAAGTGAGGCAAGTGAGGCCTGCGGTTCTTTAGATGCAGTTCTGGGTTCTTTGGAGTAATTTTGTTAGGAAGGTTCACCACTGTTCCAAGTTTTCTCA